AGAAGCAACACTTCAGAGGCGGCGTCTGGGCGCCCCGAGGTCCCTAGTCGGCCTCTGGGCGCCGAGCACGTTTTATTTATCCCTACAGAGGATGCTGGAGGACAAAAGAAATATTTGGACGTCAGAACTGATTTATATTTTTGGAAGAGCTACGTTTCCTTTTCTGAAGAGAGGCGAGCGCGCCCCATATCCTGCGCTCGGCGGGAGGACTGCAGCGAGTTTTGATGCGCCAGGAAGTTCATTTGCGCTGAGGCTCAGGGCCCGGCGCCCCGCCGTGATCGCTGCCCTCCCAGATATTTATTTATTTGGGGGGAAGGGAAGGCAGAGGGTGAGAAGACCCAGCCAGACTAGGGAAGAAAACCGGGCCCCTGGTTAGGACCTCCAGGGCGCTTCCGTGAAAGCCCGCCCGCCTACTGCCCGGCGGCCTCTCCGCTCCGCTCCGTCGGGGGCGTCTGGGGCCAGCCTTGCAGCCTCCGGGTGTTCGATGGGTGCTTCTGTAGCAACCAGGCTCTACAGTGCATCCCGCGTGAGCCCGGGGGGCTGGCCTAGCCACCACCCTCCCCGAAGGCGGACGGAAGAGGGGTGAGAAAACTCCCAAAAGAGGCGGAAAGGGGTGTGCGAGAATTCCCAAGAGAAGAGACATCCAAGGGCAGGGTGGTCACCCTGGAGCAGGACTCAGGGAAGGAGTGCAGTGGTCCAGGGCTCCGGACAGCGCCTGCGCTGTACACTCCTCATGCCCATGAAGCCACCAGGCTCCCACAGGTTTCCAGATAATCTCAAAAGCTAGATCCTGCACCCTAAAGTCAGTAGATTTTTTTTTCTCCCAGCTGCACAAACGGACGCAGAATCAACGTGCCTACAGGCACTGCACCCACACTCGCTTCCAGGGTGTGAAGTGCAGCAGCCCCCTTCCCCCCCTCCCCCGCCAGCTTTTTTTCCATCTCCCTTTGGGAGATGTGCCGGCCTATGCCCCTAACACTTCCACCCCTAATCATAGCTCGCATCCCACCTGGGGGCGGGGGGGGGGGGGGTAGCGGGGTGCATTGTAGGCCGGAGGACAGGCTCCTGGGGACAGTTCCCACATTCCGAATGCATAACTTGTGGACTCGTGGAACCCTCAGTCTGGCCATCTAGAAAGGGACAGAAAGAGGCTTTTTTTTTTTTTTTTTTTTTTTTTTTTTTTTTGCATGGGGGTCTGGTAATTTAGCTCTGTCTCTTCCCTCTCCAAGCACCTCTGACCTGGCCATCTGGGTCATGGAGTCATGCCTACAGCCAGGAGCTGTGGAGCTGATCTCTCAGGAAGGTGGCTAAAAAAAGAGTCCTGCCCTGAACACACGTGCTTGGAGAGCTGAAGGATGGATCCAAATAAAATGTGACTCTGGGCTTTCATAACAATGTAGCTAAGGGTTCTGGACCAAGGAAAGAGAACAGACTCCAGAGGAGGTGTAAAATGGCTAGCTTCACCTTCCTGCTGAAGTCTCGCTCTCCAACCCCCCGCTTCTTGCAGCAATCACCTAACACCAAAAAGATCAACTCTGTTCCTGGCGGATTTTTCCGAGAGGCCTCCGCGGCGGCGGCATGCAAGAGTCTCATCTCTGCTCCACCACACGAACAGACCTGGAGCCCCGTGCCTGAGCAATTAAAAAGCTGTCTTGGGCGCTCACAAGCCTTCTGCTCATGGTGACTTAGGACCTAAGCACAGGGTGAAAACGGTGGGGTATCCTCCAGCTGACCAGCACGAGGCTTTCCCCACTCAGGCTCAGGCTGAAGGAAGGGATGCAGAACAAACCAGCTCCCCCAGGACAGGTCCTAAACGCCCCTAAGCACTGCTAGTGTAGATAGGTCTCTCCCATCTCTACTGGTTTAGTCTAAACCAATTCATGTAAAACCCACGAAACAACGGAAGCATGCTAAGAAAAGATGTAAACCGCAATAATGAAGAGATTTCCTAGAATAAAATGTAGATTACAGAACAAAAATCAGAGAAACCCAATTTTAGCTGAGTTTACATTCCCTTGCTCTGGAGCAGGGTTGGGTAGGACGGGAAGGGAACCCGCAGCCCAGATGGAGACAGATGACCAACCCAAAAGCCATGGACTGAGGACTGCTCTGAGCTGTCTATTTCTTGACTAACGAAGAAGCACCACCAGGGCTGGTCTAGAATCCTTTGACTGAATCATACCTGTACTTCCCCCACTTAAAAAATAAGTCCAGATTTTTGTTATTTACTGGGAATGAAAATCTGTGAAGGGCTCACACCAGAGAGGGGACCTCCTAGGGAGTGGTACCAATCTAAACAAGGCAAGTGGATCAAGGAGACTTCCATTTTAACCCTGCACAGGGCTGGGACTGGGGCTGGGGCTCAGGTAGAGCATGTCCCTAGTTTGCTTCAACCCCAACCCAGCAAAACTAAACAAACAAATAAACAAACCCTTTCTGCTCACGGAAACGGGAACTATTGGAGGGAGGAAGACGTTGACCTATTTGTTATCAGATGTGTTCTCTGACCCAATAGATGTGGATACATCCACAGCTGAAAAAGAGAAAAGAACACTAAATCTGGGGGCCTAGCACCACTCCATCCCTGAGCCAGATACATTGCTTGTCCCTAGGCAGCCCCTGTCAAAGAACAGGTTAGATGTGGGATCTCCAAGAAAGTGCTTTGGAGAAGTCCTCTTCCTGCCCAACTGCTTATCCACCAAGCTCCCCACCTTTCTGGACTTGGGAAGGGTCAGTGTATAGAGCCCTACTTCTGTAGGCTTCAAGTTTACAGACACCGCCCCCCCCCCCCCCCCCCCCCCCCCCCCCCCCCCCGCCACTGTCCACTGCCTTGGATCTGCTGCAGACTCCAAGAGAGATTTACAGATTTAGAGAATCTTGGGACATGATTGATACCTGGATGATAAAAGAAATTCCTTTAAAGCCTCTTGTAACTTAACCAGTTGAATCAGTAGAAACTAAAAATACATCAAGGTTTTTTTTAACTCTTTTTTAAAATAGGGGTTACAAATAGGAGTATTTGTAACACTTCTAAAATCTCAGGTATCCATTATAAAAGGACCCTTTGGCTCCCAAACTGTAGCTAATGGTATGGAAGGTTATTAAACTTTGCCATGATTTAAAAAGGTTTAGCACCTTCAGTCTCTTACCCAAAACCTTTTAAGGCCAGTTTTAAAGCAAGTGCCATGGGGACTGGGATACATAGACTCCCCAGGTGCAGAAAAAGAACAGGTGCATAGCGGAGTGAGCACCATACTAACTTCATACAAGGTTTCCCAACCTGTTGCCTGCCCACTCTTCCAATGCAATGCTTTACCCACCTCCATACACATTCACACACAAACACATTTACAGAACACTGAAGTCTGCCGTGGAGCTCCTTTAGGCCAATACCATCCTTTACACCCAATTTCTACTTCATTTAAATAATTATTTTCAGACATTTAGAACTTCGGTTTAATGAGCACATATTTACTTCCATATTAAATCGCATCATAAAATTAGTCTAGGCAAAATGACAAAAGAGGATGAGGGGGAAACCAGTATGAAATAAATGGGGACTTGCTCCCCAACTGTTCAGTCGTCAGTCAAAAAGAAATTCTTAGAAAGTCGAAACAACTTCAACCCCCAACCCAATCAAAACATCCCTTCCGGAAAAGAGCGACTTGTTTCTTTCTTTTTTTTTTTTTTTCCTCTTGCAAATGAGCGGTCCACTCAGTTCTGCTCGGCGGTGTTTTCTTAGCTGACTCCCGGCTACAATCGGGCCATTTTCGGACACATTCCCATGTAGGTACCAGGGGTGCTCTGGAGGAAGCTGTCGACGCCTGTTCAGCTAATTTAGGTTTTCTTTGTCTAATTACTGTGGAGCTTAGGGAAAAGGAGCCGGGCTCAGGGCAGTAAACTGACACTCGGGCTCTGTGTGTGGTATCCAGGCAGGGTTTGATGGAAAAAGCCTGCTTCCACTCAACTTCAGGTCACTGTCTGGGGCCAGTCCCCTCCCCCCGCACCCGCCCTTTCCTCTGTTCCTCAGACCCACCAGCACTCTGCATTGGGAGCAGTCCCCATGCACCATGGCACTGAGAGCTGGTGCAGCCCCCCACTCCGGAGGGGCCGGACCCCACTCCGCTCCACAAGACTCTGGTTGCATCTTTCCTGGGGTCCCTACACCCTCCTCCTTGTCCTCCCACCTTCCCAGACTCTCCAGCACACATGGCAAACCAGTGCTTTCGGGGCCGGTGCAGAAAGTGTGCACTGCAGCGCCTCGCATTTGCTTCCCTGGTGGGCATTTCTGTCTCTCCGGGCCTAGCCACCAGCTCTTGTGTGGCCAGGCCGGCTTCAGTCTCCAGTTCTCTTTGCAGCCCCTGTCCGGGGTCAGACTACATTTCCCCGCACGTGTAATCCAATAACTAACTGTCGGGTCTCATTGGAATGATTTCTCCCGAGGGCCATCTCTCTCGGAGCCTACTCTTACCGAGATGAATAAGACACAACTGGGGGAGTGTTCTCGGACGAAGTGAGCTTGGCCATGGCACGGGAGTGGGGGGGGGGGCACCGGAAGACTGACGCTATAAACCCACTGGCAGCTGTGCGGACCTTCAGTGTTGACCATGATAAGCACTGCTATCTCCTCACCTCAGGGTCTCTCTCTCTCTCTCTCTCTCTCTCTCTCTCTCTCTCTCTCTCTCTCTCTCTCTCTCTCTCTCTCTCTCTCTCTCTCTCTCTCTCTCTCTCTCTCCACCACTCTTTCTGCTTAAAGTGGAAATGACAAGCCGGTGGAAGCAAATTAAAGCGAGTCCATCCGACTCAAGTGTCCTGATTCTCTACAAGATGCCCCGGGTTTCTCCACCCAAACCCCAGTGCCCAGCTTAAAATATGTTCATAACTACCCCAGGGCCACAGCTCAAGGGCGCCCAGTGCTTGCCCTCTACTATGAACTCTCAGAAGCCTGCAGTCCAGCCAGAGAGAGAAAGAGAGAGAGAGACCCAGGATTGGCACGTTACCTTGGGACGTCTGGCACCCTGGCGTGTGGCTGAGGGCGGCACTGTCTAAATGAAGTTGACAGATGGTGTCAGTTCGGGCACTGGGGATCGTGGCTAAGGAGGCTCTTCCAGGGCACCGCTGCCCCAAGACTCAGCCCCCACAGGGTCCGGCAGAGGTGGAGGAGGGGCAGGGTGGGTCCCCTCGCGGGGAGGGGGGGGGCGGGGGATCTGGGATAGGAAATGGGCTGCTGGAAGGGACAGAGAATGAATTGCTGAAATAAGGGGTAGTCGAGCCTTGCCAAGGTTGGGAGTTCTCCTCCCAGCAGAAGGGGAAAGGGAAAGAGACCAGAGAAGAATTAGGAGAGCGAGTAGGACCCGGGAGAGTCAGGGGAGGCGATAAGAGCAGGAGCCCGCCGCCAGGTCCGGAGGGGGAGGAGTGACGCCGGCCCAGTGCGCCCTCCCCGCGGCGGGCGGCGCGGAGCGAGGAGGGGGCAGGGCGGGGTGGGGTGAAGGGAGGGAGCGAGGGAGGGAGCGAGGCGGCCGCAGGGAGGGCGCGCCAGGGAGGAAGTCCAAGAGACAGAGAGAGGAGCACTCCTGAAAGAAGACGACAGGCTAGTCCCCCGGGGTCCAGGCGAAAGTCTCGGCTCGAGGGCGCAGCTGTCCGGCTAAGGACAGCTTCGCCTTAGTGGCCTAGGAGGTGGTTGCGCAAGGCGCGGGCCGGAGGCTCGGAAGAGGGATGCGCGGGGCGTTGCCTCCGACCCGCCGCCGCCGCCGCCCGAAGCCCCAGAGGAGCTGAGGGAGGCTCCGCCGAAGCACTGGCCCGGAGTGGCCCCGGCTGCGGCGCGGCCGGCGTACTAGGGCGCTCGCCCGGCTTGTGGGCCGACCCGGCTCCGGCGCCGCTGGTCCCGGTCCGGGGTCCGCCCCCCAGGCCCGGCCTAGCTCCCGGCTCCCAGATGACCACCGAGGGCGGGCCCCCGCCGCCCCCGCCGCGCCCGCCGCCTGCCCCACTCCGCCGCGCGTGCAGCCCGGCGCCCGGCGCGCTCCAGGCCGCCTTGATGAGCCCGCCGCCCGCCACCACCCTGGAGACCACCTCGTCGTCGTCATCTTCATCCTCTGCCTCCTGTGCCTCGTCCTCTTCCAACTCGGTCAGCGCTTCGGCGGGTGCCTGCAAGAGTGCGGCGGGTGGCGGCGGCGCGGGCTCCGGGAGCGGGGCCACCAAGAAGGCGACCTCGGGGCTGCGGCGGCCCGAGAAGCCGCCCTACTCGTACATCGCGCTCATCGTCATGGCCATCCAGAGCTCGCCCAGCAAGCGACTGACGCTCAGCGAGATCTACCAGTTCCTGCAGGCGCGCTTTCCCTTCTTCCGTGGCGCCTACCAGGGCTGGAAGAACTCCGTGCGCCACAACCTCTCGCTCAACGAGTGCTTCATCAAGCTACCCAAGGGCCTCGGGCGGCCCGGTAAGGGCCACTACTGGACCATCGACCCGGCCAGTGAGTTCATGTTCGAGGAGGGCTCGTTCCGCCGGCGGCCCCGCGGCTTCAGGCGGAAGTGCCAGGCGCTCAAGCCCATGTACCATCGCGTGGTGAGCGGTTTGGGTTTCGGGGCCTCGCTGCTGCCCCAGGGCTTCGACTTCCAAGCGCCTCCTTCAGCGCCTCTGGGTTGCCACGGCCAGGGCGGCTACGGTGGCCTCGACATGATGCCCGCAGGCTATGATACAGGCGCGGGTGCTCCGGGCCACGCGCATCCACATCACCTCCACCACCACCACGTCCCCCACATGTCGCCCAACCCGGGCTCCACCTATATGGCCAGCTGTCCGGTGCCCGCAGGTCCTGCGGGCGTCGGTGCAGGAGCGGGTGGCAGCGGTGGTGGCGGGGACTATGGGCCGGACAGCAGCAGCAGCCCAGTGCCCTCATCCCCGGCCATGGCGAGCGCAATAGAGTGTCACTCGCCTTACACCAGCCCTGCGGCACATTGGAGTTCGCCTGGCGCCTCACCTTACCTCAAGCAGCCTGCTCTGACGCCAAGCAGTAACCCCGCAGCCTCTGCTGGCCTGCACCCCAGCATGTCCTCCTACTCCCTGGAGCAGAGCTACTTGCACCAGAACGCCCGCGAGGATCTCTCAGGTAAAACAGAGTGCCCAGGCCCGCTGGAGCCGTAGCCTTACACCTTCCGGCTGTCTCCAACGCTGGGGGCTATGGAGCTGGGATGTTGGGGGGGGGGGATTCTGCACCCTATTCCTTTTTGGGAGGAGAGGATTTGATCTTACAGCCTTCTCTGATACTCCGCGGGCCGGTTGGTGGGCTCCAGAATTTCGCAGACTGGGGAAAGGTGGTGCCGAGTCCTAACCTTCTTGGCCTACATCAGGACACTGCGGACTTTCTCCCAATTAGTCCAGACTCGGCTCTGAAAGAAGGCATGTGACTTTTGGAGTCCCGGGTGGAGGAATTGGGTTTGGTTTTCGAAGTTCCTTTTGCCCTACTTTAGTTCCAAAGGTAGATGACGGAGCAAGTGAGGAAGAACTCTTACCTGAGAGAGAAATGGAAGGGGGCGGCAGGGAAAGGGACGAGGAGTTCAAGGACATTGCCAGTGGCAAGAGGCACCAAAGTCACTGAACACACACACACACACACACACACACACACACACACACACACACACACACACACACACACACACTGGATCTAGTTAACATCCAAGTTTGTCCTGAGCATCAGGGCATGGGTGCCCTAGTGTGGTAACCCTAAGAAATGTGCCTAGAGGCCACTGGTAGTGTGGCTGGTTTATGCTGTGTGGGTTGCAGATTATGAAAATTTATTGACTTGTGAAAAGTAGTGAAGGGTGGGAGGAGAGGAGGGAGTGGAGGAGAGAATTTTGTGTTTGGCTAACTTTATCTAGAGGATAGCGATAAACCCTTATTAATTCCCCTGAGGCTCCCACAGGCTGCAGATTGAAATCTGGGAGCCTGTCTGTCAAGGGCAAAACCCTAAGGAGCTGTCTCCCACACACTTCCCACCCTGATCAGAAAATTCACAGGGTGATGCCTAACTTCATATAGTTGTGACTACATGTGCTACAGGAGCTTGGGGCAATGGGGAAGCCGAGAAACAGCAAAAGATCTTGGAGAAATTTCCCAAATAAGCCTTTTAACTGGGGGTCTCAGAGGTTAACCAAACAAAGACAGTCTAGGCAGGACCACACGGGAGAGGATTTTAGGCTGACTTAACCCACAGAGAACAGAGTCTTGTTCAATTTTATGGGAATTTCAACAAGTAACCAATACAGATGACCCTCTCTCATATTCCCCACCCCACCCCCACCTCCTGCCCTACCGGCTAGCTGTCAGTCTCCCTCTTTCACCCTGAACTGGAACCTATGCCTCCCTCCCCCCTTCCCTGGGCCTACTGCTCTGGCCCTGTCCTCTGTCCTTCCCTTTGGGTAGACCTAGCTCACCTTGAACCCAGACTCCCAGGCTTCCCAGCTGTCAGGAATCTATACTCTAGGAAGAAACAAACTAGCAAAAGCGCAGGAAAGAGATTTCTGACGCTTCTGTTAGGTCGGTGTCCCACGCCACGCACTCTAGGCCGCGCACAAAACCCCCCAAAGTCCCCGGATATGGCGGCTTAACCTTTAACTTGGACAGCATGAGACCTGTCCAGCCAAGAAGGCGGGCCTCAGGTCTCTTGCCCCCGTGCCTTGTCGTGCGTGACCTAGCCTTTCCCCGCAAGCGATAACTTAGGCCGATCTGGCCCTGCTGCCCTTTATACCGGGGCATTTGCCCTGCTTTCTTCCTAGAACAGTCTTCCGATTTTGTCACCTCCAGTAAAGACCTGATGAGGGGGATTTCAAAGAGCCCCCGCGTTGTAAATGGGGACCCTGCAGGGCCTGGTTCCGAATGCTGCCCACACGACTGCGGCCCACTGAAGCTGGAAGGTCCCGCGAGGCCAGTCACAGCTGAGGCGGTGGCCCAGGGACAGCTGGCAGCGCCCAGCACACACATGGCCACGCACACAGCACGACCCTCCCTTCCACCGCACACCCGCACGCGCGCGGCGCCCTCCACTTTCCAAGACGGAGGCGGAGGCGGCGTCCTCAGGGAAGCAGTGGCAGCGGGACCCGCCGCCAGGGCCGAGAGTCGTCAGCGCTCGTAGTCAGCGCTGATCGCGAAGCCCGGCGGGCCATCCCAGCCGGGTGGGTGAACGTGGTCCATGGCGGCCCATCCATCAGAGCACCAGCGGCGACCTGGGGTGGAGGCGCGAGCTCTGGTCCTCGCTGGCCGCAGCGGTGGCGGAGCAGGACCCCGCCGTCCCCCTCCCGCGCTCACCTGGGCCGCTTCTCGAGAGCCGAGCCACGCTGAGTGGTCCCTTGTAGCCGCTGAGGTCGAGCCACGGCCGCCGAGGAGCGGCCTGGTCGCTCGGCGAGTGGCCTGTGCCAGCGTAGGGCTCACGCGTCGCGGGCCGCACATGACGCTTTTCTTCCGCTTACAACCGCATGGGGGGTGACACAGGCGCGCGGCTGGTGCGGATCACACCAACCGGGGGCGTGGGGAAGGCCTCGCAAACTCCTACCCACGCGGCGGAGATGCGCCCTGAAGCCCCGAGCCCGTTGCCCCTCCCCCCGGGGGGGGCAAGAAAGCAAAAGCAAAAGTGGGCGGCAGGTTGGCTCTGAGAAGAACCTACTCAAGCCCTGGGCGGCGGGATGCAGGCCTCCAGGCACCGCGCGGGGCCAGTACCCGCGGCCAGTACCCTCGAGGACTCCGTGCGCAGCTAGATGCAAGGAGCACTTCTCGATTCCCTAAACTCCTGGCTTGTAAAGGCAAGGCCGAAAGGACTGGGGACCTACGGAGAAGCCTGCTGCCCCAGGATGGGAAGTGGGCTGTTCCCCCCACCCCTTCCCTGGTCCCTTCTCCTTCAGGGCATTGTCTCTGTCATCCTCTGTGGACGATGGGGACAGCCCTCTGCTTCCAGCGTCTAGAGCTGAGACAGGAAAGCAGGGCTCAAAAGCAGAGGTGAAGGCTGCGGAGGTGTTGGCAGGGTGCTTGTGCCCGGCGCAGCCTGAATCCAGGCCTGGCAAAGAGGTCTCCCAGTCCAAGAGAGGGAACAGAACACCTCTCAAGGAGGGGTTCTTAAAAACCAAAGCAGGGCTGGCGTCTTGGGGCTTCATGGAGCTCTGAGCTGGGGGTTTTGTTAGTTGGTTGTTTGCTTTGCTTTGTTTTTTCCTCCCCTACCGGTTTTATAGTCATACACCCAAAGTCTACCAGCTGCTTCTGCACCCTCCGTCAAAATACCACAAATTAAATTGAAATTTTAGAAGTAATATACCCCACCATCATCTGGGTGACTTTCACTGAAAAGGTTTTTTTTCTCTCTCTTTCTTCTTTCAGTGGGACTGCCTCGTTATCAGCATCACTCCACTCCAGTGTGTGACAGAAAAGATTTCGTCCTCAATTTCAATGGCATTTCTTCTTTCCACCCCTCCGCTAGTGGCTCGTATT